GCTGAAGGGACCTATTGGGAAGGGTTTATTGTGTATGGCTGATTACCTGAACTATTTATCTCAGTGTATGTTAAGCCCTGGTGGGATATCTTGAATTGGTAGTGTTTCTCCTTTGGGTGATTGGATTGACCCTGGGACTGGACTGATCTTTGGATGAGATACTTACCTATGGCATCCCTTGTATAAGGATGAAGTACTCCTCGGCTATTGTATTTTGTTCCATGGCTGCCCCTCCCTAGAAAGAATATTAGTCTTGTTTCAGCAAACAGTGTGAAATTGTGATTTTATAAGATTGGGTTTTACTATATAGAGAGTGCTCTCCTGATGAAGATGTTTGAAACATTCGAAAGACATTAAACTGACATGTGGATTGTGAAATGGAAAAAAGATTTTTAAACCCTATGTGAAAGCTTTGGACATAGTGTTATACTACCGGAGACCTTGACGTCACCACGTTCTCACATTGCATTTTGGGGTTTGGAGTTTTGTTTTTCGCCGATCAAACATAGCATTGGACATTGTGTTATACTACTGGAGGCCATGACGTCACCATGTTCTTCCATTGCATTGTGGGGTTTGGAGTTTTGTTTGTCGCCTTATATTTTATATATACAATAAAGCATCCCAAAGGATTTTATACTATGTGAGCCTGGCGCTCTGCTTTTTCTTTATCCCCGGGACCATGATCTGCATAGAATCCTCATGAAGAAACTCGAGGGAGACTTCGGATTACAGCAGAGGGACTTTCATTCACACGAGCATTTTTTACTTCTCCATGATAAGGAATCACACATCCTTTGGTAAGCTGGCATTTATTTATTTATTTTAGGTACTTATATAGCACTGTCAATTTACGCAGTGCTTTACACACATATATATATATATTGAACATTCACATCAGTCCCTAACCCTCAAGGAGTGTACAATCTAAGGTCCCTAACTTACCTTCATACATACACATATTAGGGCCAATTTAGACAGGATCGAATTAACCTACCAGCATGTCTTTGGAGTGTGAGAGGAAACTGGAGCACCCAGAGGAAACCCACGCAAGCACAGGGAGAACATGCAAACTCCATGCAGGAGCCATGGTTGGGAATCAAACCCATGATCCATTTACTGCAAGACAGATGTGCTAACCACTAAGCCACTGTGCCAACATCTTCACAGGATGTAAAGACACGTGGTGTGTTTCTTCATTGAGGTTAGCTATGACACACAGAGATAATATTTGATACAGTTTGGAGTTACCTTATGGGTGTTGGACTTTTTAGTAAGTATGTACATGAGCTTTTACTTACATATTCACTATTGTTTTGTATTTTATTGCACTCAGTAATCTTAGTTAGCATGGCATAATGTCTATTAAGTGTTATACATGTTTTTAATATATTTTTAATATGTGCCCCCAGCCCCCTCAATGCTTACCTGAGCCGCATCGCGATCCAGAGATGTGAACAACAGCCTCAGCTGTCCCGGGTTTCTGCGTCCTCATTGGCTGAGATAGCAAGCAGGAGCCACTGGCTCCCACTGCTGTCAATTACAGCCAATCAGCCAATGAGGAAAGAGAGGGGGTGGGGCCAAGCCGCAGCTCCATGTGTGAATGGACGCACAGAGCAGCCGGTGCCCCCATAGCAAGCTGCTTGCTGTGGGGGCACCCGACAAGAGTGAGGAGAGCCTGTGGGGGACCCGAGAAGAGGAGGATCCAGGCTGCTCTGAGCAAAACCACTGCACACAGTAGGTAAGTATAGTGGGTTTGTTATTTTCCCACCCAAAAAGGAACCTTTAGAACTGCTTTAAAGCCAAATTCAATGAAAGAAGATCAGTTCCCTCAGGCTCCTCTGTGCTCCGTGCAGCTTCTTCTCCCCTATGCTCTCGTGGTCTAAGGTCCTCTGAGATCATCAAGACCAATCCAAGCCAGTAGCTTGCACTGGACATGAGGATGCTGGGGGACAGTCCACTGCCAGGAAATAATTTAAATGTCATCCAGCACTAGAGTGCTCCCAATACCAACCCCCCAGCAGTTGAAAAAAACATTAATGCCCCTGGCGTATTAAAGTTCAATAGAAATGCAACTGTCCAGCGCCCCAGAAATACGTTAATTGTCAAAGGTGAGTACTCCCCTGCCACTCACTTCCCCAGACTCTTACCAGATTTGGTGGCCCACATATATCAAAATGGGTCTAATAAAGCTTCACAGCACACTGTCTATGTGCCCTTTGTTTCTTCCAATAGTGCTTTAACTTCAGTGTTTCCACATCTTACACAAAAATGTTCATTTCATCATATGTACATCCCCCCAAAAAAACAAAAACATATCATTCAGTAATTAAAACAAGTACTATATTGTGCTCACGTGTATGTGACAATCAATCGTGAAAATCACAAGTGAAACGTGACTTCTCACCACACTTGCTTATCTTCTTACCAAACATCCACTTTAGAAGACTTATCAATTCACTCCAAATCCATGTTCTCTCCTCCCCAGAATCCTCCTCTTCACATTAAACCATGCTCCATATCGTGCAAACGTTGTGAATCCACTAATACATGCCACTGTACACCACCCCCATATGCACAAAACTCATTACCAAACTCAACCCCTAAGGCACAGAGTTGGGTGATATTGAAACTGATATTCCTCTTAGATGTTACTCCTCTGGTCCCCTTATTGCACAGACTCCCAATGGGTGAATAATATATAAGATATAAAAGGATAAAAGAAGCTCATGGTGCAGAAATCCCCACTAAAAAAAAAAACTTTATTTACCATAAAACTGCTTACATAAATATAGAGATTCAGGTATCCAATACTCAAGATGGTGGAATGGGCACTTCCAGGGTCAGCATCTGCCATCACATGTTTCATATGTAGTGTCGCAAAAACTGCGCAAAGCACAGTGAAGTACGCAGTTCAACCATTTTGTAGGCACCTCCATCTTGGTACGGAGTATATATATTGTGTCTCTCATTTCTCATTCTCCTTCCCCCTCTCTTCCTGAGAGGCACAGTGGCAGATGTGTGTGTGTTAAAAGCGTCACTGGCAGGTAGAGCAGCAGGGGGCCCAGAGCTACAAACTGCCCAAGAACATGTGTAATTTCTCACTTTGTAACCGAGATAAGGCAGCTTTTCTCAGGAATTGAAAGAGGTTGTAACCTCATAAAACCTAGCAGCATAGGTGACAGAATTAAATGAACATTCCTCAAGTCAGTTTGCCCCCTATGTTTCATATCATGGATTATGACAGATGTTGGTTCTAATTCAGAGTCCACCCAACGATCCCTCCCTAAACAGAGTATTGGTCAGTTACTCAGAGCCACCCCCCTGCTGGGGGACTTTAAAACACAGGCTAGCAGGCCTAAAAAGTTAAGCGTTGAAGACATCTCCCAATTGTAACATTAATATACCACCTGGGGAGACCCTTTGCTCTGAAACTTGGATCTGCTTAGGGCTAAGGCTTAATTGGCAAGTAACTTAACCCTTTAACTTCCTCTCTGATATCTCTTTGCTGTGCTATGGTTCTTTGTATATATATATATATATATATATCTTAGTTACATCTCCTTTGTAAATATTTTTATTGCACCTGTTTGACCCTTTTAGTAATAAATCTTTCTTCTGAAAGTGTTGAACTGTTTCTATAGCTTTTAATTGCAATTTACGAATCCCTGCCTCTAAAGAGACGCTACTGTGTTTGTTTAATCCTCTGCCCAATCGGCCTGCGGTGACCGTATTGGACAGACGACTTTTCAACCATTACAGTGTATATTTGATAAAGAGAGTTTCCCCTTTCTCTGTACAAAAAGGGGTGGTGGCAGTGAAGGGTTGGTTGTGTAATTAACCCGACCCAGTAACAATCGCTTAGTCTGACGGCACATCGATCGGTTGACCATTAGCCTGAAAATCACTGTGTAGGGTGCAGCTGGGTGTGGCATTGTTACGCAAGTCACATTGCGGTTTTAGATCGGCCGGTCCTTAGGTCACGAGTTTGGTGAGAAGGTCTGGGGTCTGATGCTGCGATCGTGACATATTGGTGGCAGCGGTTGTGAGATTGTCGCATGTTGGTGGTGGCGATCTTGCGCCCGTGACATGTAGTCTTTATCAAAGGCGTTTCAGTAGTCAGGAATTGCTTGTAGGCAGCAAGGTACAATGGGATATGTTGTCCTTAGAAATTGAAAGCAAAACAGCAGAGGAGAAGCTGCAAAGCATGGAGGGAATCCAGACGTTCAAGTGGAATGAGATGGCCAACAGACAGGAAGCAATCAGAACATGAAAGTAAACTTATATTGGATTATCACAAATAACTCTCGTATGTATTATTACAATGTTGATGTTAGAAAATGAAAGTGTATACTGTGACTATAGACCTCCTTTAACTGAAAAGCCTGGCCTCTAGAAAGACAAGGGAATATAAAATAAACTTCTAAACCTAAAAGTACTTGTAGGCACTCTTTATTTCATGTGTATGGACAACCATGGCATTTGATCTACCACATACTGTAGTGTGGCATAATGTTACCAGTTTGGAGCTACAGTAACATAAGATAATGCTTTTATTATTATTTTTCTTGCAAAACTTTCTATGTTTTGATGTTGTCCAGACTCTCGGAAAGGGGAAAAGATTAAAATGAATTTTGTGAAAGTTTTCTACTTGAAAGGATCTCTCTACTCATTTTTCCAGTAAATGACTTACCATCAATGCAATTGATCTGCATACCTTTCCAGTATTAAATAGTATTTCAGATAATAAAAGAAGTTAAAATATCATTTAAATCACAATAGCGATTGCTAAACAGATATAAAGAATATGTTTAACGATTGCTTTCTTGCTTTAGGTTCATTTGCTAATGTGTCATGTACCTGGTTGGAGGCCGAAGTGACAAGAGGCTTCCCTTGCACCTAATGTCCAAGCAACCCTGGAGGTGATGACAGGGAATACAAAGCTCAAAGGATCACAGGCACTGTTATGCTTGGTCTGCTGAAAGCTACTTAAGTGCTCTTGGAGTCCAGTGGAGGCGTGCTTCACACCACTGCATCCGATGCTTTGCATTGCACTTGCTGATGTAAGGCTTGGACGCAGTTGCTCGGCCATGGAAACCCATTCCATGACGCTCTCTACACACTGTTGTTGTGCTAATCTGAACGCCACATGAAATTTGGAGGTCTTTATCTATTGACTCTGCAGACATTTGGCGACTTCTGTGCACTGTGCGCTTCAGCATGCGCTGACCCCGCTCTGTCATTTTACGTGGCCTACCACTTCGTGGCTGAGTTGCTGTTGTTCCCAGTTGCTTCCACTTTGTTATAATCCCACTAACAGTTGACCGTGGAATATTTAGTAACAAGGAAATTTCATGAATGACTTATTGCACAGGTGGCAACCTATCACGGTACCAAGCTTGAATTCACTGAGCTCCTGAGAGGACTCATTCTTTCACAAATGTTTGTAGAAGCAGTCTGCATGCCTAGGTGCTTGATTTTATACACCTGTGGCCATGGAGGTGATTGGAACACCTGAATCCAATGATTTAGAGGGGTGTCCCAATACTTTTGGCAATAAAGTGTAAGTAAGATACTTATTTTCATACACTGGCATACTATCACTACCCCGTCGAACAAGGATTGGTTCTGCAAATCAGACTACATCAGTCTAATATAGTAACTTAAACATTCTCATGGAGCCTCTACCCAGGGGCAGACTGATCATTTGGAAACTCGGGCACTGTCCGAGGGCCCGGGGTCAAAAGGGGGCCCCATGAGATGCCCCTGGTACCTTTTTCATAGGCTTTTTTGAGTTTGGGCAAGGACACAGGGGCCCCATGATCCCCTATTGCCTGGGGGCCCCATGAGTTGTCAGTTCGCCCCTGCCTCTACCCTTAGATTTGAATACACCTGGAAGTCATGGAATGCAATTCAAAATTTCCAGGATGTATAAAGACATTCTCCTGACAAGTTTTAGAAAAGTTCAGAAGAATGCCTCGAGTGATGTAAATGTTTATGCAGCATGGAACCTGTACAGGTGTCAAAATCCCACCCACCCACTTCCCCCTTTGTAAAGTAACCTTTATTATAAAAAGTGGCAACAACATGCAAACAGTATTCCTCCTTGTTATAGTCTAAATAGAGTCAAATAGAGAGTCAAATATAAGTGAAAAAAAAGATGTAGAAAGATTTTTATATTAAAACAGTCCAAATAGCTAGTTCCACTTCCACAAGTGTTGCAAAGCCTTTGCCCTTGAAAACAGAATGAAGATATTTCCAGGATGCCAAATACAGGAAAATAGAAACAGATGCAAGATGCAAGCCGGAACAGCTGCAATACAAGGTATACTTATATCTTTAACAGCACAAACTGATATGTCTGAAAGCAGGTTTCTCAATACAGTTCTCAATACTCACACAGACGTTCCGCACCAGTTCAGTCATGTTTTTTCCAAGAAAAACGGATCAATTCACATCAGTTTTTTCATCAGCTTACATCAGTTTTTTATGAGTTTACATCTGTTTTTCATCAGTTTACATCTGTTTTTTACATAATTTACCAATGCAAAAATGGACTGTATGTACGTTTACATCCTTTTTTCCCATTTACATCTTTTTTTTTTCCGTCTACATCCGTTTTTCGTCCATCTAATTTTTTTTACGGAAGAAAAATAGTGTTTTCTTCCGCTCAAAAAAATGGATTTCAAGGGATGCGGACATTAACAGATGTAGACAGATGATCATCCATTTACATCCGCTAGTCCATAGAAATACATGGGTGCCCGTTTTTTCATCCGTAAACAGACAGATGAAAAACGGACATACTGAACACTTGTGTGAAAGGACCCTAATAGTTGTGGCGAAATAAAGGAATCTTTCTAGCCCATCTGAATGCCAGAATTTGGGAAATGGTATCATTTGTTTGTATCTACTCTCAATATTTTTATTTGGATGATTTGAAAATTTACCTGGACATTAATCCAATGGATTACTCCAAACTCAAACAGATATATGTGATGATAACAGTTAACCCTTTACACACACAGTAGCTTCTGCCAGAGAAACACCACTGCTCATAGTATCCACTGTTGCAGTTCTGACCTTTAAGAATATCTGTAACATTTGTTGCCACACCCAGACCAGGAACATAAAAGTGTTTTACCACAATAGCCAGAGGCAAACAATTCACAGAGGCAAAAATGTGTTTTTTTCTGATTAGAGCATTTGGAAATTCAGCTTAGTGGTTTTTAAATATAATTTTAATGTAAGAAAACAACATTAATATTTACAGAAAGTAGAATATTAAGAACAGACAACAATCATGAGTAACATAAATGGATTTAAAGTAGTCAGCCAAGTACCCCCGGTCCTTGGTTTTGAGTTGAATTGAGTCCAATTTGCTTGATAATCCAATGTGATTTATCAGAACCACTGGCTTTCAGAAATGTGACTATCCTCTAGTACTCTTAGTGGTTTCAGTGTCAAAGGAGAGCCCAAAGCTGAAAATGAAGCCATACTTTCCTGGCCCTGGAGAGGGAATTTACAGCATTAACACAGCTGATCAAAGGGTCTGAGGGGTGTGCCTGAAGGGGTTGGAGAGTATTTTTTGCTTCATCGGACAAACCTTTATTGTTAACTATTCAAAATACAGTGATATTTCCATGTAGCAAGGTTTCACAATAAGACAATCAAAATATTATTGCACAGAATGAAATGACAATTTGTTAAAGACCAAATATGATATGGATATTATGTAATCCCATTTAGGAGGGTTAATGTGTGATATTAGCCTGTTGGTGCCATAGTTATGTTTGGTGTCTAACTAATTGCAATCTTCTCATACATCAGTGTAACCACTTTTTTTTTTCTTAAATATAACTGCTTTACCATAGGTGGTATGAAATAAGAGTAAAGTTAAGACTTGAGGTATATGCTACTTTCACACTGATGATTTTTTGAAGAGTTTTTGCATTAAAAAAAGCACCTGAAAAGCTCAAGAAAAATTCTTCCCTATGTATGTGAATGTATATCTATGTACAGTTGTGTCCAAAATTATTCAACCCCCAATGCTGTAAAGGGGTTTAGGGACTATAGTGTACATTTGGAATTGTATTCAGAATCAAATCCTACAAGGACGTTGTAACTACCCAAATGCAACTAAAATGACATCAATTGTTTATGTAATACAGTAGTAAATGGTTCTTATGTGGTTTCTTCATTGCCACAATTATTCAACCCCTTAAAGACTACCACTCTGAAGAACAGAGGTTCATACAGGTGCTTTCCATCAGGTATTGAAAACACCTGTGGATGTCACCGAGCAGCAATCAAGCATAATAAGCACCAATTAGGCAGCTTTAAAATGACTGTGATACTCAGCTCCTTCTAGACATTTACTGGTGTGGTTACAAACATGGTGAAGGCAAGAGAATGGTCCAGGAAGACAAGAGAAGAGGTGATTTCTCTTCACAGGAAGGGCAATGGCTATAAGAAGATTGCAAAGATGTTAAACATACCAAGAGACACCTTAGGAAGCATCATTCGCAAATTCAAGGCAAAGGGCACTGTTGAAACGCTACCTGGTCGTGGCAGAAAGAAGATGCTGACTTCGACTGCTGTGCGCTACCTGAAGCGTAGAGTGGAGAGAAGTCCCCGTGTGACTGCTGAGGAACTGAGAAAAGATTTGTCAGATGTGGGTACAGAAGTTTCAGCCCAGACAATAAGACGCACACTGCGTAATGAAGGCCTCCGTGCCAGAACTCCCAGGCGTACCCCCTTGCTGTCTCCAAAGAATAAGAAGAGTCGACTGCAGTATGCCAAAAGCCATGTGGACAAACCACAAAAGTTGTGGGATAGTGTTCTGTGGACTGATGAAACAAAATTAGAACTGTTTGGGCCCATGGATCAACGCTATGTTTGGAGGAGGAAGAACAAGGCCTATGATGAAAAGAACACCTTGCCTACTGTGAAGCATGGTGGAGGGTCAATCATGCTTTGGGGCTGTTTTGCTTCTGCAGGTACAGGGAAGCTTCAGCGTGTGCAAGGTACCATGAATTCTCTTCAGTACCAGGAGATATTGGATGGAAACGTGATGCAGTCCGTCACACACCTGAGGCTTGGGAGACGTTGGACCTTTCAACAGGACAATGATCCCAAGCATACCTCCAAGTCCACTAGAGCATGGTTGCAGAGGAAAGGCTGGAACATTTTGGAGTGGCCATCGCAGTCACCAGACTTAAATCCGATTGAGAACCTCTGGTGGGACTTAAAGAAAGCAGTTGCAGTGCGCAAGCCTAAGAATGTGACTGAACTGGAGGCCTTTGCCCATGAAGAATGGGCGAAGATACCCGTAGATCGCTGCAAGACACTTGTGTCAAGCTATGCTTCACGTTTAAAAGCTGTTATAACTGTAAAAGGATGCTGTACTAAGTACTAAGATTGAATGTCACTTGGGGGTTGAATAAAACTGATAATGCTGTGAGCACAGAAAAGACATTTGTGGTTATTTCATTATAACTGTTATGTTATATTTGTCTGACCTACAAGTGCCTCTTTAATGTAAATGTAAGCAAGATGACTGAATGATCAAAAGCAATGTCAAACTGGCCAAAACACTCAATTTCAGTGGGGGTTGAATAATTTTGGACACAACTGTATGTTTTCACATAGGTGTTGCGCTTGCGGTGCAGTGTAAAAATCCTCTGCTTGCAGCATCTTTGGGGCATGTTTGGTGAGTTAAAAAAAGCCCCAAAAATGCCTCTTCCCATTGAAATCAATGGAAAACACCCGAAAAAGGCCTGAAAAGCGGCTCAAAAACGCCTCTTAGCATTTTTGGTGCAATTTTTAAGACATGTGTTGATTAAAAAATGCTTATAAAGCACAGCAAAAACATGGTGAAATCACCTAGGCATTTTTGCTGTGTTTTTGTGGTGGATCAGTGCGAAAGTAGCCATACAGTTTTAGGTTAAAAGAAAAAAAAACAGATGTATATTACTCACCCAGACTGCTCTTATCAACAGGGTCCATTAGCCTAATTCCCAGCATAGAATCAGCTTCCTTTTCAATTTGAGGAAGGATAGGGCCATACTCTATGGGTACCATGTGGCATAGTCCAATACTGTCAGGATGTACTTTATACCATAACTCCTGGCAATGGGCCAATGATATCTACCACCACTCTCCTAAAATTAGTCATCAATTACATACAAAGCTTGTAGTGGAGCCCTGTGAACATTTGCTGCATTGCAGATCTGTTGGCAAGTAACACAGAACCAACATTAGTTAGTTATGCATGTAAGAATATTTGGCCAGAAACAATTCCGCTGCACTTAGGACTTTCCAAGTGACCCACTAGAGGAATTTTGTGAGTCACCATCAAGTGTCCTCTAAATTTGTCAGGTCCAGTGACCTGCCTTTTGACCATTTCTGCTTATTGCTATTCATGGGCAGATCCTACCTGTACAGCTTTCCATTGCCCTGTA